TGATCCTCATTTGTTTACTAATTACAGACCTATTTCTTTATTACCTTGTTTCTCCAAAATCCTTGAGCGCCTAATTTACAACAGATTGCTTGGGTTTTTAGATAAGCACAATATTATTCATAATCGCCAACATGGTTTTAGAAAATTCTTTTTAACTGATCTTGCTATTACTGATATATATGACCAAATTACCAAAGCTATTGGTAATAATTATTTCACAGCTGGTATTTTTCTTCTGAGCAAGGCCTTTGACACTATTGATCATAGCATTTTACTAAGGCCTTGCTCTCAATCTATTTAGAAGCTACCTTGGCAATCGACAACAATTTGTTTCAGTTGACTCTTATAATTCTCCTCTTTCTAAAATCAATTGTGGTGTTCCACAGGGGTCAATACTTGGTTCTTTATTATTTTTAATTTATATTAATGATCTCCCAAATTGTTCATCATTATTAGGTTTTGTTCTGTTTGCTGACTACACCAATCTTTTCTATTCAAACAAAAACTTACCAGAACTTTTTAAAATTACTAACACTGAATTAAGCAAAGTATCCAACTGGTTTAAATTAAATAAATTATCATTGAACATTAATAAAACTAATTTTATTCTTTTTAATCACAAAACAAAACAAGACTATAATCATGTTTTAAAAATAGATAATAATATTATTAACCAGGTCAGTGAAACAAAATTCAAGCTTTCCTGGCAACCTCATCGTAACAAAATTTTTAATATTATTTCTAGAAATATTGTTGTCATGAATAAGTTAAAAAATGATTTTCCCCCACATATACTTTTATCATTATACAATACCTTAGTCCTACCCTATATTAAATATTGTAATCTCTCGTGGGCCACCACAGTTGATAAACATACATAACCTGTGCCCCTGGACAAGTCTTGAGACCACTAGTATTGATAGCATTTTTAAATTACAAAAACGCGCTCTCAGGATTTGTTCAGGGTCAAGTCGTACTACACACACTAAACCTTTATTTTATAAATATAATAAACTTAATATATTTGATTTAAACAAACAACAAACCTATAATTTTATGTATCGATTTATAAGTAATACACTCCCAATCCATATTACCCTATTATTCCCAATCCAACAGTCTGCAATTCATAACTATCCAACCAGGTTTTCAAAAAACAATATTACAACAGAAAAATGTATATCTTCTCTTAGAAAAATATCAGTATTTTATAATGGACCTAAGTTATGGAATTCCCTTGACCCCTTTTTTAAATCTTTACCCAGTTTTTCTTCTTTTAAACTTAATATCAAACGATATCTGGTCTCGATGTATGGTAATTAAGCCTTCTAACTTATGTATTAAAATAGAAACCAGACTACCTGTTTATTTTCCAGTTTTTGTATTTTATTTTTATTTTAATGGTGGCCACATCTTAAAGTTTTTCTTAAACTTATTGTGGTCTCCATCCACATAGATTTTTTGAATATGTTTGATCATGTATATGTTTGTTTTTGTTCATTATGTGGAAAATAAATAAATAAATCAATCAATCAATCAATGGATATAATGCGTAATTCGCATACTAATTTCATATTTCTAAACATTTTTGGGGGTATATGATTAATTTACATGATAGATTACACCCATACGATGCCCCTAAGCCAATTTCAAATATGGAATAATGCGTTCTCTCAGGCAGTATAGGATATACGTGCAGATATAACCCCAGGCACTTTTATAAAACTGACTGAAACGCTCACATAACAGACATAAACACATTTTTATTTCGAATATTTCGAGCACCCATGTGCATGTGATACGTGTTGTCGATGAGGAAGAGCCCTGGAGTACTCGAAATATTAGAAATTAAAAATTGTTTATGTCTATTATGTCATTCAACGTATACGTTTCTACTTGTGCATTAGTACTTACTTTATATCACCAATACATACATGGAAACTGCACATACATTTATATCCTCTATATATACTGTCTCTTATACCCATCT